CACTTAACATAAGTAAGAAGACTAATTAAAGCATTTATTGTTTTTGAATACTTGATGTGTGATTTGTAAACACTAATTTTAAATGATGTGACCAGGGAGAAAGAATGGTGAAATATGCAAGTGTGCAGTGGAGCAGCGATTGAAAAGGTCGTGAGTGCTGTATCCACTGTTTTGTGCACTTTTTCTTTTCGTTAGTTTCCTATTATTCCGCTCAAAATATTTTCAGAAACAATCACAAAATGTGTTCATGTCATCACAGCACGATTAGACTATAGGTAGATAAACACTATTATCAATCATTGGGATCTTGGCAGACAAAGTGTGCACTACAATGGCAGCAGCATACTAAACATTTTATAGCATATGATTGTATTTAAATACTTGAAATGTTCATCAAATTAAAGAATTATTCAAGTAAGATAGCAAATGATTAAATATAACTTCATGTGAAATGAAAAGGCAGGAAAAGAAGTTAAGATTCTAACATCTGAAGCCAATCTTGAGATGTATCGTCTTGAGCCGCTCTGCAGGAAATGCAAAGAAGGGTAAATGTGGCAGTATGCCGGGGATTTTATGCACTATTGTCAAAACGGCCTTGGATGCAAAAAGTATTGCAAACACTTGATCTTGCTTACCTGACAGCCTCTTTGATATCAAGTTGAAGAAACACCGGTATGTCATGACATTTTTTTAGAGCCTGTTATCTACGACAAGGTCTTCTCCTCTTTCTCAGTCGGCTCAGACTGAATGTACAATGAACATGTTGACTGCACTGCAGCGTGTGATGTTTTGCGTCCTCATGCTCAGCCATCATTATTTTGGATGCAAAATGACACAATAAGTGAGGATAAATTGCAAACTGTCTGTTGTAATTGGGGGTATTTACAGATAGTGAAATCTGTGTAAAAAAGAAATGCAGTCTAGGTTTTAAATGATTGTCTGCTTACCATCTTAATTTAACAATAACTGATTGTCGGTTTTAGTTTGTACTTAAAAGACAGTTTAGAACTAGTGGCTCTCCATATTAACCCTTTAATTAATGATGCGTGTCAATTAGATACACTATTGTTTAAAACTCGCTGTTACTAGTATTACTACTAACAATGACAGAACGCCATTAACTCATTGATGAATGTTTATAGAATATTGTTCAACATATAGCAGAGATTAAGGTTTTTATTGAAAAAGAGACTCTGAAGACTCCTAGAAATGCTTTTGAGAATTGAGTACTAGGAAACTGACTAGTTGTCCTTTGACAGTTGCTGAATCTTACACAGTAAAGATCTTTCAACCAAGATCCTTCTATTGATTTTCACTCAAATGGTTGCAACAGTCAAAAGCTTCCTTCTTTCTCAGTGGGCAAAAAGTGGAGAGAATGAGGAGGGAAGTACATTCAGAAAAACAACTCAGGTCTACAGCAGTTTTATCAAAACTCCAAATCTGTAACAGGTTGAGTCAGCGTTGCCTCAAGGGAAAACTATCTCTGAGGTGGGAGAAATATAGGAACGAAGTCCAAAATATTTTCCTCTGCACAGACAAGAAACAATGAACAAATTTCATCAAAATCTTTGTGCTTAATGAGGGCAGTTTCATCACAATGAAGTATCGTTATGTGGGATTAAACCTAATCATTTCACAGGTGCTGCTGTGCCTCTAAGCTCAGGTGTAACCAGGAGGTGTACTGTTCTCTTTCAGGGGCTTCTTTGTTAAGTGTCTTTTGTTTGGTCTCTAAGGATTTAGTTTTTTTCAGGATGTACGAGGGGCATGTGCATATCTTTTCTCCTGCCTCTCCTTTGTGACAGTGCGAGCAGACTTCACTCCGTTGCCTTCGCTATCAAGGCACGCTTAGTGCAGCAATCCGCACACGGCAGAGTGCTGCTCGGAAGCTTGGGGAATATGTCACCTGTCTAATCGCACACACACGCACGTACGCTAGATTTTGTACTTAGTTGTATCTTTGACTGTGCTTTACTTGAGCTGGCACCAAGGTGAGTTTACTGAATGTGTACTCGAGTGAGAAAAAGCTCTTCAAACAGCGAGGCCACAATCACGTGACCCGCACAACGAAAAAACAAGCCACGTGACCCGTTGTCGTTGTGCGCCCTTTGAACACATTTCACTGAGGTTGTGCTTGCTGTCAACAATCTACGCTACGTGCACCAATGCAACAACACGCCAAACAGACTCTGTCGTCACGGTTACACTGTCCAAACAACACCAGTGTGCCCTAACCGCTGCTTTAGGGATTCCCCTCTGAGGAGGCCGTGTCTGTTGGCTAATTAACCACTCACACGGGCGCTGAAGTGGATGGGCCCTCAGGCGGATTTGGCTGGATTGAAAGACTTTCAGAAATGGTATGGTGCCTGCAGTCTACTCACAGGGTCGTCTCTTCAAACGCTGAGACACACTTCATCACAGGACGTAACGACTGTGTGTTGGGTTTCAGGAGTTGAAGTCGTTCTGCCAGAGGCTTGTTCCGTTGGCTCGGCACTGTTGGTTCTTGGTTGGATTTTTAATGATTTGCAAATATTTCACAGAGTTCTTAAAAACTATATAGTCAAGCTGTGTAGAAGATGGATAACTGCCTATTCCATAGACTGCTAGATTTGGTATTGTAGATTATTCTTAATCAATACCAATATATTTAGTTACAGCTAAAATGCATACAGTGTTATAGGAAATAAGGATGTTTCGGTAAAATCTCCAGTTAAATAAATTAGAAGCAATACGCAGCACAATCGACAACAACAAATGACATCTAGCTGTGCCAATAATTCTGTTTGACATTTGAGAAAATGATCTTTATATAGAGATGACAACGATAATGCGGCTTAATCATAGTGGCCAATCATCTATTCTGATCCTCTGCGATGAAAGCAAATTTACAATTATTTTTTTTTGCAACAGCAAATTCTGAGCGCACAGAGCATCCATTATCTTTTGAGTTGATTTTAAGCAATTTTTAGAATACAGTTGCTTGGAGACACAACCAACTGTTACGGAAAAACATAATTTATTTGAAATCGTGTTTCTCCGTGTTTCAGAAATGTAAGCCCGCCCACTTTTCATCTCAATATAAACGTCCTCTAAATAACCACATGTGTAAGAGTTACAAAATGATTTAGATTTACAGGATGCACACCCTCTAACCACCAGAACAATAGTTCACCTTCACCTTCTAATTGCATTTGTTAGAAGCCTGTGCCTTTTCTGAAGCATTCCTTTTTGTTTTTGTTCATAATGTAATCCCCTCACACCTGCCTCCTCTCGTTGTTTTAGTTCTTCCGTGGCTGACTGTCTGTCATTTGTGTGTTAAAACAATCTGCTCATGAATATTAACCTTCTGCAATCTGCTTAAAACACATGCGTGCTGCGCACACAAACACACCCACACACCCAGACATTTAACACAAAATAACACTTAACCTTGTCTTTTGCTTGCAGTGTCACTGGGGACTTAAAGCTTTTTGAAGCTTCTTCATTTATGCTCATTCCTGACTATTTCAGGTGATGTGGTAGATTTAAAAAAAACAACACATCAGTTTTCATGTAGAAAAGCTTCAACAAAAACATCAAAAATAGCAGCTATTACAAATAGCATTACTTAAATAAAGAAACCATTCCCATCTCTTTTCCTGTCTTGCATTGAAAATAAAATTGATCAATATGACTGTTAGCATCGACCTGAAATAACCTAAACTTGTTTATTGTTGTATGCTGCAGGAGACTGATGCCTCTTTCAATGCAATCATTAATAGATAATACTATCATCGTTTGTTAGATTTTATTTCCTGCTCAATAGAACATTTTGATTAACAATATGCAGTTATTATCTGACATAAATTCATGTGTACTCAGTCATTTGTAAATTAAGTAAATGAATATGAATTTATTTACTGGCTCTGTTTGGAGTGGTTTACCGTAGGTTGCACCACTTCCTTGTTTCTTTTTTTATAATATGCTGAGGCAACACCTCAATACATCCCTCCTAACAGCCCTCGTCACTAACCTCAGTGCAATAATACTTTTCTCAACTCGCCTGAGTTGCCGCAGCCAGCCTCTCGGCCCACCCCCATATTTTCACAGACCAGAGGTGTCACTGTGCTGTTAATAACACTAAAGCTCTGCAATATTCAGACCCGACAGTGGCTGAAACCCTGCATGATGTTCAAATAGGTATTAGAGCTCAAGGAAATGGCTGTAATGCATAAATAACGTCGGGGAACTGTTGTGTATTTGTGAAGAATGAATTGAATAAAGTCTCCCTCACATAGTGTATTTATTGTGACCTTTAAATCACTGGCCATAAGCCGGGGAGAGCTCTCTGACTGTTAAACACATGCAGAAGTTTGCTTCTGAAGTGCATTAAAACAGAATCTTTATCATTGTCTGTTGACATAATAGATTCTTAACATTACTAAATGTGTCCGTGTGGGATGTATCTCTGCTCTCAATAATGTCGCTGCTGCTCAGCTATAAAAATGAGTCCGGAATGCACTCGTCTTTAATCAATCAGGTTTCAGTCCTTCCGGCACAAAGTCACTCTAAAACCTTCTGTCGTTCACACACTGAGAAAAGGTGCACTTACTCTAAAGATGATCACACATTATTACTTTATTAATTATTAAAGGAAGCATTTGCATTTGCTCTAGCAAAGCCTTTAGGGAAATTAGTTTTAACTTCTCCATGTAGTTTAAAGAGCGAGGTCAGCCACAGGACGTAAAGCCAGCTGCTTCTTGTGATTTGAAGCTTTTATTTCAAGGCTTCTCACCACGCGTGCTTTCTGTCGAAGGACGTCCAATCAGTCTCTGGAAACGACGGCCCACCCTTCACCCGCCAACACACGTTACAGCACAAGGCAAAGCCGCATTCATCACTGTAATTATATTAGCGCTATCATTTTTTCACATCCCTTAAATGTCACTTCACTTGGTGGCTTGAGAAAAGAAACTGTGACCCTACAAAAATATTCATGCTGTTTGTCTCCCTGTGCTTGCTAGAGACTCCAGCGAGGGGAGATGGCGGTCAGGTGGACACATCCTTCTCTGACTCTTCGCTGTTCGCTCACTGGGGTCAGGAGCTCAGCCCGGACAACCGGCGGGTGGCATTGAAGATGTTCCAGTACTACGGATATAACGGATACCTCAGTGATCGTCTCTCCTTGGACAGACCGATACCAGACCTCAGGCCTGACGGGTAAGACTGCAGTTTAAATGACAACCTGTTGATATGGATGTTTGATATAACTGTACATTTTTTTCTGATTAATCAAAATGTTCACATTACATTGGTGGCAGAGGAGTCTTTTACACACATTCATACAGTTGTGGCAGGAGTCGCCATCCAAGACGAACCCAGCCCATCAGGACTGTCTAACCATTCATACAAGAAAAGCAAATCCTCCTCATCTCTGTGTCACGTGCAAACTATGTCTCTACAAATGCTATCGCCATCAATGATGAGCAGTCAGGGGATCATCTAAGTCGATAGTGTTCATACCACAACATGATGTCAGATTGTTGCAGGAGCCCACGGGGTGACAGCATGGTGGGAAAGTTTACACAGCTCAAAGATCTTCTGCATACTTTCTCCACCGCACATTACCAAATCCCCTTGAAAACCCTCCTTTTCCACTCATACTGGCTCTGTAGACTCCACAGCTGTCTGGGCGACGCATTAATAACACACACAATCTTGTACACATTTCCTAAAAGTAGTGTCCGAGCCTTTCAGCAGCGTGATGTTGTCATATTATTGTAAGATCAAGATCAGAACTAATTAACTAATGGAAATAAATACGATTTTTCAACTAAGGTCATCAATAGGAGAAGCTTGCCACAGTTTGTATTATCACAACTATAAGCTGTTATCACGGTTATTTTTGTTTTCTAACACATTTGTGTCAGAAAACGTTATAATTATCGTTCAATTTATGTTCTCTTTCAGTGAAATGTAACAGCCTCTTCTCTCTCAACATGGTATGTTTTTTGTCCTCCACAGGTGCAGAAACCTCACTTATCCTTTAAACCTCCCCCAAGTGAGCATTGTGTTTATTTTTGTCAATGAAGCGTTTTCCGTCATCTTGCGGTCGATTCACTCTGCCATCAACAGGACGCCATCCCACCTTCTCAAAGAGATCATCCTTGTTGACGACAACAGCAATAACAGTAAGCAGCATTACTTTCTAATGGAGCAATTGATCTTGTTAAACTCTTCTCCCAAACAGCGAGTCATGTTGCCTCGGCAACGGTAACCAAGCACAGCAGGCCTTTTAGGCTTTTAGGCTTTCCTAACATGGAGAAGTAGTGTGTGTGGGGCTTTAGTAGAGAGATAATCTTCACTTAAAGAATTTGGAGGTTGGTGAGGTTTTTTAACTTTTCAAAAACACAATAGCAAAAGAGAATGAAGAGATTAAATAGTGAGCGTTTCTGCTTTTGCAGAACAGGAGCAACAACACAAAAACAATAATAATAACTTGCCGTACACAGTAAGTGGTAAAAATCCTATTTATCTGTGGTATGGCGTCTTTAGCCTCAGTCCTTTTGCATCAAGTTAAAATGTAACGTGTTTAAACACCCCATTCAGGAACAAGTACTGTACACAATATCATAGATACACAAAAATATGTATCTATGATATTAACTGCTCCTCTGGCCTCCAAACGATTTCAGTGTTTATTTTATTAGTGGTTGTGTTCCCTGGATTTAGCCGATAGCTGAAGTACACTAATAGGCTGCAGAGTCAGGAAATGTGCCCTGAGGCAGATAACAATCCAGCAAGGCGATGGAGTGTTTGTGAATATCTTGTCTGCATCTGCAACCCTAAATCTAGGGTTCTATATGCATTGGAGGCAGTTCAAACAGTGTCAGGTTGAAAAGATATCCAGTGTATGCTGTGAATGTTTGAAGCGTGATTGCAAACAATTGTGTGTGCAATCAACTTGAAGTCATCTGTGAAAAGTGGACATGGTCATTTTCAGTGTGAGACTTAACTACATTGTAAAGGCAAAAGGAAAGCCATAAAAGGTAATGATAATCTGCCAAGGTCATTTATAAGTACTACACTTTTAAATGGTATGCACTGCTTGTAACCAGGGCTGGCGGAGCCATTACGGGCAGTCAACACGGGAAATACTGACATTGGGAAGAATGTTTTTCAAAGTCAATAATGCAAAACATGGAGCATTGCCTGTGGCTCCATGGAACAGAATATAGATCACTGTAGTTTGTCTGGGTAACGCATCTCAACGTGCTGGAATAAGAACCATGACTCTCCCTCAGGATGCTATCAAACAAATATGCATATACATATGAACATGGTTTAAGATATCTGTGGCAAAATGTAAAGTTGGAAAGTTTGCTCCAAGTTAAACATTTTTGAGTTAGCTATTCATTACAATTTGTATTTCATCACGTAACTGAGAGCCCAGGAGCATTCCCCCTAACTCCTTCAGGGACCCGAGTCACGCATTGACATTTTGCTGATGGCATTTCACCCAGTTTGCCTGAGCACTCCGTCACACAGCGTCTGGGATGCCTGGTGTTATCCTTATCTCCACGGACTGTGAATCTTATCTGCGCTAAATGTCGTTAGCCTGGTTGACCCCGCTGCTGAGATTGTCGATGGGGTCATCAACCACAGCTAACCTCCTGGGCATTCATGGCTTTACATTAGTCATCCACCACTGTCGCACAGCTCACCTCCAACAGGCATTAGCATGCAGCAGGATGTGCAGCCATCAAGGGAGAGAAGGGTAAATTGACCTAGCCGATACCTCCTTAATTGGATAATGTCCCGAGCTGTGGCCTTTGATTCGCTCGTCTTTGTAAGAGTGCTGTTTTACGAGAGGCTCACCTATAAACAGTCTGTCTGAGAATTTATAATTCGCTAAACCTCAATATAATACCACAGTTTGTATACATGCGATGATGATGGATTGGACCGGGGATTGCATACAAGACCGGTAAGATCTTGGAGGTAGAGTGAGTCATCATTTAGATATTTTAAACACAGATCTTGACAACCGTGGAGTTGTGAAGTCAGAAATTGCCAACTACTGTGGCGCAAACTACACAGCAACTGTTAGACCTGTATCAAAGCCAACTTGCCATCTGCTGTGCAAGAAGTGAAGCCTCTGTGTTGATACATGCTGTTTAGTTTGAACATGAAGAGAATGTTTAGTTCTTGGTGCTTGGACAGACAACTTGAGTCTATTCCAGGAGTGGAAAGTATCTCTATACATTTAATTAGGTAGCTACTACTTAGGTAGTACAATTTTGAGATACTTCACTTGATAATGTCTTTTTTTTCTTTATACTTTATTATTATTTAATTAAAATTTTTATTCCATTAGATAATAACACATAATAGTATTAACAAAAGAAAAGAGATGTATTACAAAAGGCTATAATACAACACAACTAAGTGTAAACGAGTAATTCAAAGTGATGTCAGAAACCTGTTTGCTTGTTGTTTCAGTTGTTTCCCAAAGCTTATTTCTGTCCCGCAGAGCTTCACCATCCCGAAAGATTGATAACTGTTGGCCATCAGCCATTACCGGTGTAATGAACTGTGCTTTATTATAATTTGTTATGAAAGTACCACATTATCATTATTATTTTTAATTCCCACACATACCAGAACTCTTAATTGTAGATGGATTGAAACTTATAACAGATATAGTGCACATGAATAACTGTAGTAGTTTTTTATACATGTATTTAGTATTAGTATTTTGTCCTGTTATTTCTCTCTTACGGTAGCTTTACTTTTTTCAGAATTATGAGTCCAAAGGGAAGGAATGTTACCTTGAATTTGTGGTCTGCCCTGATTTTATGGTGTGGAGTCCCTCTCCTTTTAGTGCTGATTGCACTTAAACAACAAGAACAGAAAACTGACCGCTGCAGGCTCTTCTGAATGGGATAGTATCATACTCAACATAAATGTAATACAGATTTTTATGTTGCCGTCACAGTTTGGTTCGTGCCGTCAGACTTTTTATGTCAAGACTGTGTTGCATGTTTTGGAATCTAGTGACTTATGTGTTTTGGGTCCTGTTTTTGGTTCGTCTCATGCTTCTCATTCAGGTTCAGTGTTTCCTGCTCCTTATTGTTTCAGCTAACTCTGTTTGTGTTGTCTTCTCTTTCTTCTGTCCTTTTTTCTGTCTTCCCCACCCTGATCATTGTCACCCGCCTATCTTCAGCCTTGTTGTCACCTGTGCACCTGCTCACCTGTTCCCACTTTACTCCGTGCTCTTCTCAATGCCTTTTTCTATCACTGCATTGTAAATTGTACCTGTCGCATGTGGTGTAAAATGTTTTTGTACAATATTTAATGTATAATATTATTCAGTTATTTCATGAACCAGCAGCAGGTTCTCCTATAACGACAAGTGAAGCATTGTCTTTGATTATGTTTTTACAAAATAGTTATAGTTTTCTCTGCTGACTCATGTGTCAGTTGTTGCCAGAAGCAAATGGAACAAAATCAAGAGTTGGATTTTTTAAATAAAAATATAACATGACTTAATGTACCCTGTGGGAATTTGGGCTATTAGTTCTGTGGAGCAATGCTTTGATAAACAGATCGTCTTTTGTGTTATATTGCTGCAAGCAAATGAGATGAGATCATTTGTATTCAGTTTTTTGCAAACGTTTTATGGGAAATGTGTTGTTATAGATGCACTGAATCATATTTTATGTGAGGATTACTTACTTGTGACAAGAGTTTCCAAAAACAAATAAGGCAGCTGAAAAGTATATAGACATGTACATTAAAATACATATTTTTTGCAGATTACATCTTTTAAACTCAGAAGGCTGTTAGAATTGAAATAGTGAATAGTGAGTGAAGACAACCTGAGGTGTGGAGGTTTTTTTATCTTGCACAATACAGTTGGTAGGCTACGGTTATGGAATTGTGTTTTAGCTCACTTGCTTACTTACATCAAGGCTTCCACCAAAAATTCAGACTTTTTTCGTGAAATCGGGATCATTTTGGCACTGTCTTGGCTGCATTTTTTCTGGTTCAACCACGGGCAATACCTCTAATATATTGCTGTAATTTATTTCACAAACATTACTTCCACTCATAACCTGTGGGAACTCTTTTAATTATTTTTCCTTTGACGAGCTTTGTCTCTTTCATTCTGCAGAGTATGGCTCATCATAAAATATATAGGCAAGTAATAACCGAGGTAACCCCTCGAAGCCAAACATTAGACCTGACAGACTTTCTCCATCACCTCCCCCCATGTTTTGGAAAGATTTGCAGGCTAAATTCTCCATATTACAAAATCCCGTTATGGCTGCAGCCTTATGACGGTCTGCGGTTCTGGCTCAAGCTGCTGCCTCCTTGGTCCAGTGATCAAAGCAGTGAAGCAGCAATTACTTTTGGCCTCCTACCAATGAAATACTGCCCATTGGAGGTGGATATGACGGCATCTTGTGGGTGGATGTTTGCTCACAACTTCACTCACTTCATCTCCCGGGATCTTCAAAATCCCATCAGATTTTTATGTAAACTTTGTGTGCGTGTGTGTGTTTTGTAGATGAATTGAAGGAGAAGCTGCACGATTTTGTATCCGAGACAAACAGACAGCATCCAGGATTCATCAAGATGGTACGTCATGCCAAGCAGGAAGGTCTCATTCGTTCCAGAGTGAGCGGGTGGAGGGCTGCTACTGCCCCAGTTGTTGCCCTGTTTGATGCCCACGTCGAGTTCAACGTTGGTTGGTGAGTCACTCACAACAACATGATGTTAGCTCAGCCCAACAGAATTGCGCTGGTTCTTGAGTCACATCACACCGTGTGGGTTAACGGAAAAAGGTTTAAAAACAAAGACTGTAGCTTGGCTATTTTTCTCTGCACTCTCCAAACCTGATAAGAAACACTGTTCTATTATTGAACCAATTCTAATTCTCCATTTTCCAAATCTCTAATTTTTGATGTGGAAAGTGTCAGGTTTCTTAATCCACTTTTCAAAAGCAGAAGTTTCATATTGAGGGAATGTGTTTATTTGCTCTCTTGCAAAAACTATGCAACCTACTTTAAAGACTAGAAGCAGGGGGAAAGCATTTGTACTGAAGGTTACAAGGATTCAAACAGACAACATACAGGAGGCTTTAGGGCGCAGATAGGCCGATTGGACAGAGCCAAATGTAGAACCATTTCTTGAAATGTACATTACATCCTTTGAACACATCATCAGCTGTCTTGTCATAAATGTTTTCCATGTGTTTAGATGGGGAGCATAAATCACCCTCTTGCCAAATGCACAGTATAATAACTAAATGTAGTGTGTAGTTTCTGTAAATGGTTTAATGCAGGGGTGTTAAACATATGGCCCCGGAGGCGTCCAGTGCGGCCCGCCGGATGACTTTGCTAAGTGGAAAAATGACAGAAAGACAAATTGCATTTCTATAAAAGTAGCTGCCATTCCTAAAAAGTCGACTGGGGGTCGCACTCTGTGAGTGAGCGCAGGCGTTCACGTCACCCGTGCCGATGATTTGATTGGTCCGCCCGCATGACATCAATGTGGACAGTATGTGGCCCCCTACCTAAAATGAGTTTGACACCCCTCATTTAATGCATGATGGTCTCGTATTTTGATCTTATATTGGATTGTGAGGCTAAAAAACTGGATGGAATTAATCTTGAAATATTTAAATTGTTTTCTGAGAACTGTGCTTGCATGACAGACAGTATCAGAAATGGAATGGAAAAAAACAATACAAAACAATACTAAGTCAAAAAATCACTCTATCTTTCCATATTCGAAGGGCTGAACCCATTCTGGAGAGAATAAAAGAAGACAGAACCCGCATAATCTCCCCATCGTTTGATAACATCAAGTACGACACGTTTGAGATTGAAGAGTACCCACTGTCTGCCCAGGGCTTTGACTGGGAGCTGTGGTGTCGCTACCTCAATCCACCCAAGTCCTGGTGGCATAAGGGCAATAAGAGTGCACCAATCCAGTAAGTCAACAAAACATGTCTTGATGATGTAACAATCTTAATATTTTTTGCTGGTAGCAAAGCAGGATCCAGCCCCAAAATAATTGCTAAAGTCTATGTGTTTGCGCTGGTGACGTTGTTGCTGCAGTGATCAACCATCTCATCCATTTCCTTAATACTCACTTCGGTGATTGTTGCAGCCCAGAGTGTTGGTTTCTTTCTTCTATCAATTTGTAGTATCCTTCATATATGTTTCAAACGTTCAGTCTCAATCCTCTGTTTTTAGTTAATTTCGATGCATTAGCTATAAGTCTGGTCGAGCGACTAATGGTAGATGCTCTCAAAATAGACAGATGTTGACGATCAGAGCAGTGAGGGAAATTAGCAGTAAAATTGAAAGTGGTAGTAAATGTAAGGTGTGATGGAGTATTCGGCTAATTTACTTAAGTAAGGGTAATAATACCAGGTCAAGAAGATTTAACATGATCATTAAATACACAGGAGATCATATTATAGACATGAGCACGAACTACCCCTTTAAATCATTTGTCCGCAATTTAGCACACTGAAGCCCCGTGGTCAAGTCACACAAGCTTCAATCTAGTCTGAAGTAAGAACATGTCCACACTGGTAAAAGGTTCATTTGTGTATCATTTATGAACAGATCACATGTTGTCACATTTTTCTGCTTTTCCTCGCTGTTACTATAGCAACTGTGCCAAGCAAACCCAGACTGCAAAAGACAAGACTGATTTTCATAATGTTTTACCCCCCAAGGAGCCCGGCCCTGATTGGCTGCTTTGTGGTGGATAGGCTGTACTTTGAAGAGATTGGTTTGCTGGATGAGGGGATGGAGGTGTACGGGGGAGAGAACGTGGAGCTGGGCATCAGGGTGAGTAATAATGTCAGGCCGAGGCCATGGCCCATTGTTCATCCAAGGAAAGTGTGTGAAATTAACTCTGATAATGAAACTTAATGGCTGTTGGAAGCAAGGTCACACAGAGGCCCATTGTCTTTTTTACTAAGCTCATTGAGAATTGTCACTCGGCTAGATGTGATGTGCTCTGTGCATTTGAAAAATGGTGTGCAGATGGAGTGACAGTTAAGAAATGTGAAGTCGAGCTTTATAGAGTGTGTCATGTCAAACCAACAGCGACCCTGTCCCCCTTTAGTCCCTACTGAAGACAAAATAATGGATGCTCAAGGTCCATTTAGCTGCTGTTCTGAAGCTTTTCATCACATCGCATAATCTTCATCATCAGTACTTACATGTAGTTCCATTCTTAAAACAGCTCAGCAGTGCAGTCTCCTGCAGATGTTACTGAAACAGCAGTGAAATGCGACTATCAGTCGTGGATGAATCCACATCAGCAGCAGGACAGTGTATGTGGGATTGAGGCAAAGTTCTGCACACCACAGTAATAAAGCTGTTAAATTACCTAATTGTTGACTCTAAATTGCCTGTAGACATGAATGTGAAATTAAAACGTTGCCTGTCTGTAAGTGTGATTGACTGGCGCCTAGGATGTAAACTGTTGCTAATAATTGTATTGTCGATATCTTTTGAACAACATCATTGCTCTCTGATAATAATATATATATATATATCGGACTCGGCTACATAGACTGTATGTGGCACTATGATAAATTTATTGTTGGTTGTGGTCATTTTGTGGAATTATTCGACAATAAGAAAAATATTGCATATTACTAATCAGGATAACTAAATGAATAACAATACTTGCATGAACATTACAGTGGAGGAAATGATCCTTTAAAAAAAATAATTACAAACGTATCCTGAAGTGTGACTGATAGCCTTCCTCCCCTGGTGATCCCACTGAAGCACATGTGAGAGTTGGAGGACTTGGAAGCATCTTTGCCGCTTGCAGCGATGTGAGAAGAGAGCGGCTACATAGTTCAGAGTGGACGGACGCACTGTCAACGCGCTCGTCATGCAGTCGTCTCTCGCAATACTTCATTTGTATACCATCACCCACGCTGACTCGGATGAAAATCGGTTTGTGTGATGTGCTGTTAAGTTGAGCGTTACCACAAGCAGATGGGCCGTAGAAAGAACAACCCTCCACAGGGAGACCTAATGATAGCATACATTAATGCATCAGCCTGTTCAATAAAAGCAAGCGACAAGGGACGACTCCTCCTCGGCCCCAAACCTAATACAGTGCACCGTGATAAGGAAACAGAGACGCGTTTACGACAGGGCGCCGAATGTGAAAAGATCCATCCTCGCTGATGACAGAGACGCAATTATCAGTAGAAAAAAAGTAAAGGATAATTAGTCCCATAAGTCATTTTCCTCCAGGAATTACATGCTTTTAGAATTCCGGGGCTGATAATAATGATTGCTTTATGGCTGGACACATGGATGATTTTATCGCATATTATAAACCAAGATCCTCTCCCTACGTATAAGCAGTTCGATTAATCAGTGTGCTTCATTGCTCTGTAGTTTGAGGTTGCACTCCATGCTGTTTACTCGCTTGGTCGCGTTGGACTGAAGGAACTCGCCCTTGCCTGGAGGTTAATGTAGTTGAGGGTTCAGTAAAGCTTTTGAAACTGGGGGTGACACAGTTAGCTGAAAGCTACAGCACAAGGCTGAGGGACCTTGGCTTGGCCCCATAGAGCCCCGCCAGCATGGTCTGCCTGTCTGCAGTGCATTGGTCATGCCTTGAGACCACCTGCCAACACACAGACGGGCTGCTGACGGATCCTCAGAGACACACGCAAAGCAGGCTAACCGCTTCAGGCTTTGGCTGACACTTAAAAGAGATGTCCCGGTTAGTGTGAGGGTGAAATGAAGCGCTGCTCTGTGTTCACATTTGGTCACAAAGTGGAAGATGAATTTTTCTGTTAAGATGTACAAGAATCATTATTCTGAAGAGGCATTGAGTCATAAATGATACATTTGTTTGATGTGCCCTTGTGTTCTTTACATCCTTGATCAGGTATATTTATGTTAGCCAGGGAGTTAACCTCACCGGCATTCCTTGTTTTATTTCCAAAGCGCCCGAAGGAGTTAATGTAGGCTTCAGACAGTCACTCAAATAACAAACCCAACACAGACAAGAGGCGCGGACATTTTTCATTTTTAAACTGTATTTTCACATGCCCCACAGGGCGAAGATCATTTCAAAATACAGTATTTGTCCGACCCCGAGCTTTGTCACTCAGTCACTAATGTGTTGTTTTGAAAATCGCAGTAAACCATGATCAAATCAAGCATCTGAGGTTTCACTGACAGTCAGTGCATTTGCACATCACATGAATCCGCCTGCTGACCGCAGTGTATGGGTTGCACTTTCAATATCCCTCCTGCCGATGCTGGTCCTGAGCATTTGTCCAACAGAGACCTTGTGAATGCAGGGAATTTATGATCATGCCATCTGTCGCAACAAATTGATGAGAGATAATCCTGGGAAGCTTGGTACTTGTCTATAAAACACAGCACATGAGTTACAGGACCGACTTTTTTCAGATAGATGTTCAGAAAGCGCAAAATATAGTTTGGTGAAAGCATCACTCAGATTGTATGGTGGAACTAAAAGCAAATCGGGAAAAAACAGAATTAGAATACAAATGATGGTCCAAAACACCTGTGAATACTGGGTGTTGTGCCAGTGAAGCACAGAATGGAACAATACATCACAAAAACACTAAAGCAGACACCATCACTCAACCAGTAACAGAAAGGTTCAGTTGAGAATGGAGGATCATTGAGGGCTGTGAAAAACAATTATGATATTCCCTTTGTCCACAGTTTTTATGGAAGTGGCATTAAAATACCATTATTGTCATAAAAATGGGTTAGACATTCGATTTAACCCTAATATATGCAATTTGTATTCCAGAAAAGTAACATGTATTATTAACCGAATGAGCTATTTAAGTACCAATGTGAAAAGCACAGATAACACTAATAAAAGACTGAATGTCATTCTGCTACATTAATTAAGAATACAGTATTTTCATTCAAGATGGAAAAAAACATTATTTACTCAATTCATCCAAACTTTACAAGTTGATGATCTTTGCTCTGAAGTAAATTATAACTGAATATGAGTGATACTGCAGCCCTTTAGAATATATTTAATAAATATAACCACTGCATGCACTATAAAATCAGCTTAGTTAAATATGGTAATGCTTTTAGAACGGTAAATTCAATGGTTCACAAGGACGCTTATAATATTATAACAATTTCATAAAATTTACTGTAAAGAATATTTATTGATATTAAAGACATTTCATCAGTGAACCACTATGAGCTACTAGGCTACAAACCAAACAAAGGTCCACTCATTTATCTCCCATGAACTTCATTATTCCGGAGCGTTGGTTTTAGAAATGATTTTAAAATTATTTGAATGACCTGCAAGGCTTTACATGGCAGCGGTCCAGAGTACATTGCTGACCTTTGTTTATGCTACTTGCAAAGAAAATTATCAACCGTTGTTTCTAAGAAGTGCTATTCAAATAAAGCTTGACGTTATAATGTATTACAGCAACATAATAAACACAGCTAACCACAGCAGCACGCAACATCACTATAGCTATCGTCATGGTAATATAGTTAAATATAGTGCTTATCAGAAATACTACATCAAATGTCCTTAGTACCTTTTTTATATTTAACTACTGGCTAATTTCATTTTGGCTTCTTCAACTAAATTTAAAACCAGGCACTATTACACCATATGCTGTCATAGAAAAGTTCCTAAGGTTGATTGATTTATTTAAAAGACGGAGCTCATGTTGTGGTTTCCTTTACGGACCAGTTGCAATGGATAGGAGAGGATCGATATTGGAGTGATGCTGGAGTGATGCAAGAACACCAGCTGAGGGTGTTTTTTGAGGGTGCAGTTTTTAAAGAAACCCTCTAAATGGCAGATTCGGGAGCACAGAGTAAATACTGAAGCTTGAACATGGATCCCCATGGAGAGGATGAATCATATTTGACAGATATGGTTCAGTTCCTGCTGGACCGTTTTGATGGCCAGTATTGACTGTGCAATGTAAACCCCTATTTCCCTTTTTTTACACTTGTTGCCGTGCTTTTCATCCTGTATCTCTGAATTTATCGGTGGACAATCTTTCTTTAGCCATCTCCGTCTGATAACTTATTATTCATGGGCTCATTCTACCCTGCGTACAGCTATATTTATTGCTTTGTGATTTGAAAGCGGATATGCCTGATTTACATATTTATCCCCTCAAATAAACCTCTTGCAGAAGGTGTCGTACTCTTCAAAACTTGCACAGCTCCAGTTAAATGAAACATTTAAGGTTAAGTATAGAAATGGAGTGTCAAATTGGATTATTTATTACCCTGAGCCGAATCTTGTGATTTCATGAATGGTTTATTGAAAATATTCTCATGGTCATATGTACACAGAAAGGCACTTATGAAGGTTATTGTGTTTACAGAGAACTTGCTCGATGATTGTGTTAAATGTTTCACCCCCAAAGGTGTTTTTCTCTCTGCAGGGAGTTATGTAAAACTTGTTTGAATGTTTTTCTCACATTCCCACTTCCTTGTGTTGACGACACTTGTAAGGAGGAAGGAAGCTGCTTAGATCGAAACATAAATCAAGTCCCTTGTCAAAAAGATATTTTGTTCTCTGTTGGTTCAGTTCCACGGCAAAACAACAAACCTACTCGTTGGTGTGCAGACTGCAGGCTTTGTATTATTTGGTAATAACCAGCTCTCACGTTTTAATCATAGTTTTTGGTGGAGGAAAGTACTTATTTTTACATTCCGTTACATATATTTAGAATGGGTTACCTGCTGGCTGAATAGTAGCTGGTCCTAAATATAACCATTTAATTGGTAGTGTAGCAGTTCTGCAGGTTCTGAACACTTATATTATT